TCCCTGCTGATGGTCTAGAGCAGAGTTGGAAGTGAAGGTGGAAGTGAAATTGGTGATAGCTTTGGTGTTTTAAAGGGAATTTTAAAACATATCAGAAAGGGCTTTTCTGAAGAAATGGATGATTTTGGTGGAGAAAAAAGACATGCTATGTGTTTGGGAGGGAAAAGGAAGGATGAGAAAGTGAAAACTGAGAATCTTGGTAAAGGATGCTGTTTTGTAGACTGAAACTACTGAAAAAATGCTTCCTTAGTCCATCTTCTTTTTTTTCTCCTAAAAAAAAATAATAATTATTTGTCCCTTTTTAAATAAAAAAAAAAAGAGAAAGAAATGCTTTTCAAAACTCTTCATTTTATATTTTTGCATCTATTCAATTAATAATACCTACAACTGTGTTTCAATCACACCTTGAAAGCCAATTAGTTGAGAAATACAGATTAAAATCTCTGGAGGTTTCAGGAAGTCTGACGAGGTCTGATGTTAGCAGGAGAACCGTTCAAAGCAGTCCAGTGATCTTAACTCCACTTTACAATCAATTCTAAGCCTCCAGCAATGGAGAGGAAAGCAATGGTTGAGAGTGCAGCTTATGTGTGGGGAAAAAAAAAAAAAAAAGAAGCTGACAAGATATAATACTGTCCTGGGCTTGCTATTTTAATAAGCTCCACTGGTGTACATTGCAGTTTTTCCTGTCTTCTCAAGTCTCCTGGACCATCATAACTCTAAAACTGCTTAGTCCCAGTTTCAGCAGTTTGAACAACTCCAGGGAAAGGTCTCTGCTGTCACTTTCTATGCAGTTTCCAGTACAAAATTAGACTGACAGCTTTGGAAGTTGAAAGTCACCTTGTGTTTCAAGTCCTCGGATCACAGAGCAAGAAGGAGTCATGATGATCTGGCCAGGTCTCCTCCATAAACCAAGCACAGGGATCCCTGAGCAACTCTTGTGCCAGGGGAAGTGCTCAAACTAGAAAATCACCCAACTCCAGCGATGGAGACTCCACCACAGCCCTTGATAGAATCATAGAATCACAGAATGGTTAGGGTTGGAAGGGATCTCAACGATCATCTAGTTCCAACCCCCCTGCCATGGGCAGGGAAACCCTCCGCTACACCAGGTTGCCCAAAAACCTAGACTTGCAGGATTTATTATGCTCGCTGTAAAACAGCTAGAGCTTATCTGTCCTCTGTATGTGTTCATTTTCAAAACACTGAACTTTTAATATCTCTGTTTGCCGGGCTGATGATCAGCTCTGTTTCCCCTGTAAGTATTTACCAGCCATGACATTATCTATTAAGCTTCCTTGATAAGTTAAACAGATTGCGCCCCTACTTGTTCACTGCAAGGCATTTTTGCCAAACCTGTAATTATTCTCCTGAGCAATAGCTTGTTTCCCATTTTAAGCTACTCCAGATAACTCCATCATTTACAGGTAGAAGCCATCTAAGCAAACTATAGCCTCTTAAAAAAAGGTGAAGTTGCAGAGACTCACATCTCTCCACTTTGTCTATTTTGTGAGCAGTGGTTTATTTTCAGTCTTCTGTACTCCTCACAGCCAAGCTTAGCCTTGCTCTTCAACTTCCAAGGAGCTGGAAGGATATCAGTGGATGAAGCTGTGTCACAGCCTCCTCCATCACAAAGTGGAGTGGTACCTCCTCACTCCTACGGTTTACCAACTCTTGCAGTTGCATCCCTTTTGGCCTGCAGAAAGGAAACGCTCTGGCTGATCTGCAGCCTGTGGCTCCTAAATGTGCATTCTATACTTGGCCCACAACTCCAAACAAAAGTTGAGAATCCAAATATGTCATGTTGGCCATGTGCAAGATCCGTCAGGCTGACTGACATTCCTCTGTGCAGCTCTGAAATACAGAAAACAGGGACATTCACGTACCACAGTCAGCCAGAGGCAAACAAGCATATCTGGTGACAGTGGCTGGGGGCAGCGATGGTGACAGACCACTCCAAGAACTCTCCCATCCTCACGTTAGCACCAGCACAGCTGTCACACACAAGCAGTGACAGATGGACAGGCATGGGAATGTCTAAGAAAACGACACATGATCTTATTCAAAATGCATGTAGCTAACATGATACGAGGCACAGTGAATAGGAAATGTTTTTATGTTTGTAGTGCCATAAGTGTCAGCAGCAGTTTGATGATAATGAGTCGATTTCCTCATGGCTGAAGGATAGTAACAATAGTATAAATTACCCAGCTTTTATATCCTTAACCTCAAACTAATCTCAGGCACTGAAGATGTTAAAGAAATCCAAGAACCTAGCACATCCATACAAAGCAGTAATTTCATGAAAATACCTGCTTATTAAGAACTGACACTTCCAAATGCACAGGATATTCAAAATGCATTGTATTTGCGTAGTGAAACCACAGGTGCCCAAAGGCACCAGGAGAAGCCTACGGATCACCTACACGGAGATGACCATCTTCAGCACCTCATGAGAGTTTATACTGGTGTCAACACACCTGCTCATGTATAGAGAAGCTGTCATCCAAGTTAGCTCAAGCTGTGTAGCTATAATATCAGCATGGCAGGAAGCTTGATGCTGGCATCACACTGCAGCCAAGATAGTCTTGTCTTCCAAAATGAAAGCACAGGCGACAATTTCTTCCATCCTTGATTGTTGCAAGCAATTTTCAGCTTTATGACTGTAATTCAAATCGATGCCTGGAAAAAGGGTAGTGGGTGACCTACTGAGTGTATTTATCTGCACATGAACTGTCACACCATTATTATGCCTGATAACACAGCAGGCACAAACCATCCACACACTGTTGGGGGAAAGCAGTACTGCCCCTCCCATCCCAATAACATTTTCCTCAGGGAAAACACTGATATGGGAGAAGAAAGGGCGAAGTGCAAGAAAGAAGGCGTGCGCTTGTTTTTGTATCTTAGGCAAATAGGTAGGTGGGAAGAATTGTATGTCTTCATGACATACTGCAGCTGCTACCAAGGGGTTAAGCCTTCATGGGACTCTCAGTGGTGCAGTAACACCAAATAATTCAAGCAGGAAGGAACAAGTGCCCTGCACCCCCCAACCCAATTCCCTCAGCTGAAACAGTCCAATGCAAAATATAAGATCTCAACTAGAGAAATAGCCTGATCTAGTTGAGAGGCGTCCCTGCCCATGACAGGGACATTGGATTAGATGATCTCTAAGGTCCCTTCCAGCCTATGCCATTCTATGATTCTATGATAAGCTATTTCCAAGGTTCTTGTTCAAATTCACACAAAAACACAAGTTCCACATTTCTAACCATGGCTTGATATTTTTTGTCTGGTGGTTCAAAAAAAGAAAGCCTAAACCATGAAGCTACTCTTCCCCTGACCCTCAAATTGAATAAACTAGAGTCAAGTAATTCTCGTGAGATTCTGCTACTGAAGTAAAAGGGAGTTTTCCTGTCAAAGTTCAAAATATCCCATTTAATACAAACAACCATTCCTTTTTTCTGTACTTTATAATTCCCCTACACTCTAAAAAAACAACCATAAGACTGTATTTTGTACAAAAAAACCCCAAACAAACTACTTTGGTCACAGAAGATTACCAAAATCATCTTCTACACCTGAAACTGGGACTTGCCTCTAAACTACTATTTACTCATGTGAAGAACAGCAAAGACCAGTGCTGCATTAACCAAACCCTTTGTTGCAGCTGAGTTTCATCTAGAAAGAAATGGTTAATTCCAAGGGTTGTAATCTTCCCCTCTATTTTTCTACCTTGTATATTTGAAAGGAATAGGGGAACAGATTAACAGAGAAGACTTAAGCAGGATTACTGGGGAATTAGCCCATTTACTCAATGAATTCTCATATCCACAGTAAGGACTACTAGACTCCTGGACAACCTTGCTTGATGCTGCTCTTAAAATCTTGGCCTCAGCTGGATGACTCCTAGTTCCTCTCCCCTCTCATCCTCTTTCCCCACCAGTTTAGATCCTGCTAAAGTAAAAAGCTCTTGGCAGGAAGTTCAAAACTTAAGACAGGTCACTGAAATAAAGAACCAACTACTTCCACAAGTACAAACTCCTGTAAGAGTGGAGTAATTTTTATTGAACTCTGAGATGATAAATTGCAAAGCACAGCAATAAAATCCAGAACAGGAACAACCAAGTAACAGCTGGAAATGTAGAACTCGTTTTTATTGTCATAACAGTTTCACATGCAGTTTTTGCAGGACAGTTAAAGCTTTAAAATTTCCTTTTAATCAGTGTAATTGCCCATTCCCTCCCCAATACACACTTATGTTCTAAATTGCAGCGACTTCCTGATTTCTGAGAAGTAAGGCACTACAGTGTCCTTTCAGAGTAGTTACAAATTATCATAGCAGATGCTTCCCTCTGAGATCTGAAGGTCAAGATTGTCCACAGAAGAAAATGCAACTGGTGACTGAAGATGTATAGCCAGTGATGAGTAACTATCACCACTCTTACCAAAACAGTCATTGCATTCTAGGTCACCTACTGTCAGACTCGAGAGGAAACCTTCAGTGCACAGAGCAGAGGTAACAGTGCTCATCCTCTCACCTAGGGATGCTGTTCGCTCTATTCTGGAAAATTTCATTAAAGCTCCCCTGTTCAAGCTAGGGGACAGACTTTAATTGCAGTCTCTAACAATCAGTACATTCTTACGGCTGAGGACAAGGCACTGGATGAAGACCTCCACATTTACAACTTTGGAATAGGAGTTGCAGCCACTGCAATGCTTTCAATTGCACATTCATCAGTGCCACGGCGGATTCTGAAGTAACCATCTTCTCCCCACGACGTGCCCCAGCTGTTCTTCACAATCCAGAACTTCTCACCACTGTTTGGGTCTGTACCATAGCCCACCAGCAAGACAGCATGATTGGTCAATTCAAAAGGATTGAAGTCATCCTGCAGCCCAGTGTGATGGTAGATCCCCTCTTTATAAAGCATGAAATCATTATAAACCTCAAAGGCAACAGCCATTGGCCCATGCAGAACAAGCTCGAGTTTCATCAGAGCTTCATTGCAGCCTCCATAGAAGCCACCGACATAGTGGTACTCAGAACTGTAGTAGTGGTAACAGCTGCGCTTGAAAGTGCATGGAGAATCTAGGGCTGTGTAAGGGAAGCAGTCCTCTTCCACAACACCAAAGTCTTGGACATACTTTCCAGCAATGAGGTATGGGAAGCCACCATCACAACCTAAACAAAAAAAAAAAAATCTGCTTATTCCCTTGGAGAGTTATTTGAGATGGAAGACTCTCCTACTCAAATCTTTTGGAATACTTTTAGATACAGTATTGAACACAAACTGCAGTGACCCAAATAATCTTAATATTCCAGTTAGCTATAGCTAGCTTTCTGAAACACACAAGACAAAATTCACATCTGTGGGAGCTATACTGGGAACACTAATGCATGGACCACCTTCTCATCCAACTGTTCCTGACCCTCACCATCAGGCAAAGCTGTTAATTACATGCAGTGAAAAGACCTGTTCTAACACGAGCACCGTCCTTTTGAAAGCTTTACTTACTGCTGTTGCTCATCTCTCCCTCCCTCCCTGTATGGTCCTCCTCCCTCTGAATATGCTTTTGGGAGGATATTTGGTTCCACTCTTTCTAGGTACATATTGCCATTTAGCTGTATTTTTAGCCCTACTCCTTACACATTTTCCTATCTCCCAGGTAGCTCTACCTAAATCCAGTAACATCCTGAGCATGAGGCCACCTACTCCTGGTTCAATCCCATCCCTACAGTAAGGCAGGCTGACAACTCTGGAATACTTTATAGTACTTCTTTTTTTGAAAGATTGTAGAAAGTATCACCTGCCAGATAATTTATGAAAAAACTAAATCATGGGTGATGGAGAAGGCATGGGAGTCTTTAATATACAGTCTCCTTCTGCAGCATTATCATTACTGAAACTTATCTTTGTGCACACCAGTGTACTTACCTTGAGAATACTGGCTGCAAGACACAACCTGCTGAGGACTAAAGATGGGTTTCTGGGTGTTGTTTGTGAGGATACGTATTCTTGCTTCCAGCATGCCCATGGATGAAAACGCATAACAGCTGCCACAGGAGCCTGAAGAAAAAGGAACCACAAAGTGCAGTCAGTAACATAAACAAGGCAAGGCACCTGCATCCAGGTACAATTATTGCTTGAGTCCACTGAGAAGAGTCAAATCCTACCAGTTAGTGATTAGAACCTGAACGCTGATAGAGCAAAAGCTTTAAATACACATTTAGCCTTTAAGCATGCAATTCAAAAAACAGTTTTAACAACTTCTGAAGGAACATTAAGCTTATTTAAGAATAAGAGACAACATATTGCTCTTCAGTGTTTTTCAGCAGTATTTAAGAGCTACACTATTCCTTCAGAATGAACCCACAGAGACCACGTTAGCAGGACTGAGAAGGCTCATAACCTACTGCCTCGGACTATAACCCTTTAAGAGCACATATGCTATGGGGTAATTAACTATTTCACATGAATGCTGGCAATATTGTTCTAGATTGTTTCAACCTATCAATGGATTTAATGCTGGAATTTCCAGTTGAAAGAATATTCCACTTTAGAGCTACCCCTAACATAACTGACTTTTGACAGTCTAGTGTTTGATACAGTGGATTCATCCCAGCTCCCCTTACTTCCCAAGGGCACGTAATTTTTACACTGGCTTTTCAGAGGCACCTTCATTTCCCTTCTGTTTCTTGGCAGAGAGCTAAATCTCCTCACTTTTTCATTAAAATTTAGTATTGTTTCTAGTTTTAGGCCTCTTCACTCCCTACGAGCTTCCTGCAACACATTAAAAACCTTTGGAATTGGAATGACAAGCATCACAGGGAAGGACAATTACTTGGACGAGGTCCTATTTTATCTACTGATTGTCACCAAGGCACCCGATTTCCTTTTGTTTCCTGACAGTAGGAAAGTCAAATATTGCAGAGCTATGGAAAGGAGGGAAGCTTGAGAAACAAAACAAAATACTTTCTCCTGAACTGTGTAGGTGTATAAAAGCAGAGCTATTACAAAAGCAAGACGTCGTGAAATTGCACCTTCACTCAGTCAGACATATCTCTGAAGAGAAGGGACACAGTCAGCCTGAACACGAACGGTCTTTGCCCAGCAGGGCAAACTCAAGCAGCAAAAGGTGCCTCCCACTCCTTGCACAGTCACAGCATCTAAGATGGGCCACACTGCAGAACACTTTGTTGCATTTTGAGTGCAAAAAAAGAAAAAAAAATACAACACAACCATTTCATTCTGAAGTCTGTTGGGGTGGTTGCTAAATTTCTTTCCTGCTACCACAGTGGTATTTGTGAGGCCTGTAGTATGACAGCCCCACTGTATCAGCAGAAAGCCAACACAGCTGCAAGACTAGTTGCTTTTCTGAGACTTCCCACAAATTCTCTTTGACTCAATTAAAGCTTCAACTACATTAGATTCCACTCACTCTACTACAAAGGGCTGTTACACTGAGGAGTAAGGAAGAGACACAGCACACCTAGTGAAGAATCAGCTGGCCAGGCTTTTCACCTACTTTGATCTGCAGAAAAGAATCAGCAAGAAATTGGAACTGCACTCAGGGCTAATCAAATCTGTAGGTTCCCCTCTTCTCCCCCAGTAAAGCTGATAACAAGCAACAACAGGGCTATTTTCAAAGATGACATCTCTTGGGTCAAAGACGGAGTTACTGCTCTATAAACAACCCAAGAACTCAACCTTTACTTTCTTGACTATAGAAGATACTAGCAGGGATGCTGACAACATGCTGACAGTCAATATTACAGTCCAAGACAACTGCAGTTGCATGAAGCTTGCCATGTCTCAAGATATGCTACAGAGAACACACATTTCCCTTTTAATTCTTGTCCAATTCAGATACTGTATTTTTTTCTCCTTAGGTAAAGAGCTATGACTCCACAAGCATGTGAGATCTGGGAAGTCATGCTCTCGTAATTCATACAATTCTCTCTGTATGTGCCAGACAACTAGCATCTTACTGCTTCCAGCCTTCTCCCCCACGGCATTTTGTAGTTAGTCATCTAATAATGTTAATGATATACAACTAAGACTTTCTAATACCATCATTTTAATGAAGCATTGATATCCAGTGCCTCTGAAAAAAAAAATAAAATAATCACACAAGCTACCACAAGCAAGACTTGATTTGCATGTCAGCACTATTTTGCACAAGGCCATCTTTTGGAGGCTTAGTTTTGTAATTTTTTTTTTGAAGTCTGAAAGCTAAAATTCTTACTTAATGAAGCAGAATGCGTATTCCACAGAAATCTAACATACTCAGCATGGATTCTCAGATTACAGCAAAAATGTAGGCAGCTTTATTATTGGAAGCAACAGACTAGTTCTCATTTAGAAAAACTTTGAAGCAACACAATGGAGAAAAGGCAAGTTTGGCACTGAGTGTTCAACTGTTTGGAAGGTAAAAGAGCCCTTGGGATATTCACAGTTCACATCAGGAGAAAGTACAGGACTCAGACCTACATAGGACAGTATCATTCTCTGTTGCCATCTTTCAGTGAGGCCATGTGTCAGCTTGTGAACTAAAACTCCCACAAACCTTCCCATGTTTCTTCTGCTACCAGGAGTTCAGCTGGCAGAATTTCACAGAACTAAGCCATAAATGAGGGATCGATGACTTAAGTGATTACCTCCCCACTTTGCTAATGTTATGTTCCCTTCCCCTGGAAGTTGCAACCAGATAGCTACCAGTGGATGCAAATTTAATTGGAAATAGCAGATCAGAGAAGGGACACATTAACTGAGTCCACTCCTGGCCTTCAGTATGCAACTATTTAATTCAAGTGTCTCACACCACAGTGCACTCCCTACACAGTAAACATAACAGAATGGTATCCTTTTAAGTCGACTTTGAGCTGAATACTTGCCTATCACAGGGGCAAAGAAAAAAATAGTTTTAACAAGTATTCTATATTTATCAATGCCCAGACTGTTCATAGTGACTGACACCTTCTCTTGCAACTAGCCATTTAAGTAATTTCTAAAGTTATTGGGGTGATATAGATATTTAGATTAGATACAAGGAAGAAATTTTTCACTCAGAGGGTGGTGAGGCACTGGAACAGGTTGCCCAGAGAAGCTGTGGATGCCCCATCCCTGGAAGCGTTCAAGGCCAGGTTGGATGAGGCTTTAGGCAACCTGGTGTAGTGGAGGGTTTCCCTGCCCATGGCAGAGGGGTTGGAACTAGATGATCTTTGAGGTTCCTTCCAACCCTAACCATTCTATGATTCTATAAGATTTGGAGGCAGTATAAACAATTTTCATGGGCTTATTCATTACAGCTGCATAATAATTTGCCATCAGCAGTGAGTAAGGAAAGAATTAAATTTACACCAGTTCTGTCAGTGTGCAGAAAACATTGACTGAGACTATTTGGACAAGACTTGACAGCTGTCTTTATGCAGGGCACTGTGGTAATTGGCTTTCACTCCAGCAAGAGACACTGCTGTTTGGGTAAGCCAGTACCACCTTCTATTTTGGCACAGTGCTGTCAGCCAGGACTCCACCCAGTTTCTGCAGTTTATTTATAGTAAAGGTGCAATTCCTCAGCTGCAAGACACTAGACAAAGCCTTCTTGTTAACAGCAAATTACTAAGTACAACAAAGGAGCTCTAGAGCATTTCATTCAGAGTTTTGATTATTTTTTTTTACCTTGATTCCGAACAGGGCTGACATAATTGACACCATTCACATTTCTCCAGTCCCAGGATTCTGGCAAGCTTGAAGCTTTTTTGAGTAACTCAGGTGTTAGAGGTGCAGGCTTTGGTCTAAACGGGAGAAAATGCTTCTGAGTAACACATCACACTCCAGTCAATCACATAATACTCAGTTGTCATCTTCTGGCTTCTACTAGTCCTACTTACTTCACGCCAAGCAATTTGAAATAGTCTCCATCTAAGCTGAGTGG